TGTCCTTCTGGAGCTGCAGTACACAAATCGATTTTGCTCCCTTAGCTGCCTGCCTGCGTGTGCTTAAAACAATTTTTGACAAATGCCGGAGTTTCACAAATGTAGGAGTAGCAGTTCTCGAGGTGGTTTTGCAAGTCCCTTGGAACAGCCTTGCCCGTCTTCAGTCACTCTTCATTTGAATGAGAAAGGGGATGGTAGAAGCTATTTTTATTTTCCCCTGGGAGCAAGAGAAAAGGAGGCGGAACTCTGTACCATGTAATTTTAAAAAAGAAAAAAAAAATCAGATTCCATTGAGATTCTTTCTTGTTTACTTTTTATTTTACTCTTGCCGTCTCCCAGTGTGTTTGCCTAATATAAGTCTTCCCCCAGGAATATGAGAATATGTGGTATGGTCCGCCTCATAACCTTCCTGGATATTTTTATAATTTATCATCAGCTGACACCGCCTGGGTAGAATATTCTTACCACTCCCTCTGGCTGCTGGAAGTCTGAAATTACATCTTTGTCTTTGAAGTCAGGCATACTGTTAGCGTTGCTATGGTGACAGGGTGGGTAATGGCGTCCACAGACAGGAGATCGGTATTTAGCGTCTAAACGCTGCTGTACACAAGGCCTTGATTTTTAGAGTGGTTACTGAACTATTCCCTTTTAGTAAATGTTTAAAAATTACATTTTTACATGGTCTTACTAGATTAATAGTCATGGTTTATTTCATTTTAACTGCAAGGATAAAAGCATTATTCCATTAAATGGGTAGCTCTTTTTCTCTCTTGGTTTATGCATTATTAACACAGGCTTTCCTGTTTTGCTTGTAACATTTTATAGGCTTTTTCAAACATGCAGTCAGATTTGCTCTGTTGCTCCTTTATTTTTTGGTCTTAACCCATTATCTGCTTGATCTTCCATGATTTCAGAGGAGACAAACTTCTTAAGGAACTAAGCTTTAAAATATTAAAAATGAAGAGGAGGAGGGAGGGTGAGAGTTGTGTGTGTGTATGTGTGTGTGTGTGTGTGTGTGTGTGTGTGTGTGTGTGTGTGAGATAATGTTGACTGGCCGGTCTTACCCCATGAACTGCAGCAGTAACTTTCTTTTTAAGTGTTTCTTTTGTTTCAGGTTTCTTTTTAGCCCCTCTCCTGTACTCTACCTTCACATAGGAGGTTAAAGGAAAGATAATTTACAGTTGGGAACTGTGGGACATTTTGAAAATGTTTTAGTTAATGTAACTTTTTAAAAATGATTTTATTTGAGAGAGAGAGAGTTGCGGGGGTAGAGAGGAGCAGAGGGAGAGGGACAAGCCGACTCCCCACTGAGCACAAAGCCCACCATTGGGCTAGATCCCAGGACCCTGAGATCATGACCTGGGCTGAAACTAGGGGTTGGATGCTTAACTGACTGAGCTACCCACGTGCCCCAGTTAATGTAACTTTTGAAGTGATAGTCTCTCAATTTAATCTGTTTGGTCTGAGACCAGTAACTTATATTACTTATGATTTGTTGATTCTTGATTATTTTGTCATTAGAATAATAGTGACTCTTAAAAGTTCACACAGTACATGCGTATGCCTCCCTACCTCATTTACGAACTGCTTCTGGAATATCATTTTGAAAGCCTCATGATCTGGACCTTATGCCTTCATAAAGTATTTGTTAGGAAATTCTTCCTTGGGTTAACTTGAAATGCTTTCTTGGATTTGGATTCTACTTCTGCCTTCTTAAACCACATGAGAGAAACCTAAATCCCTTGTCTCTATCATGGCTGTTCAGATATTTGAAGACGGTTTTCATTTTACATGTTTTTTCACTTGCCTAATTAGTTCCTTTATCTTCCCCATTATGAAGTTTCAATTCTGTCCCCACCCTGCTCTTAATTCTTTGGTAAAGTTCATTTTGTGTAAGTGCCTCCACATAGGAATCCACAGCCAGACTAAATACTCCCAACAGAAGTGTGGCTGGTATAGAGCCGGTCAGTCACCGCCTTTGTTCTAGACCGTCGCGGTGGTAGGCGCTTGGTGTCAGAGCTGAATCCCGCTCTGGCCCTGTGATGGGAGGTCCTTTTAAGGCTCATCTCTCATCTATCCTGTACTTGAGCCTAAGAACAGCTTTCGCCTTTACCCTCATTGAGTCATTTGGGTCATCGTTCAAGCCTGCTAACGTGTTTTTGGATTCCAAATCTAGCATCTGTTGTATTTAATATAATTTCTACCTTTGTGTCATCTATAAATTCCTGTCTCATTATAACTCTTAAAATAAGCAAATTAAATAGGCTGAATGTAGAACTCTTTGACGTTTCGGTTGTTGCCATTCATCCAGGGATAATAAATATAGAGCTTCCGTGTGTTCTAGACCATGCATTACATGTTAGCTACAATGCCACCCTAAGAGACTTAGGCTAGAAACTGAGTGGGAGTCCAGAACAGTCGGGATTATGGTTCTGTTACACATAAAGGCTCTGTGATATTGAAAGTTACATATGATTTGTTCCTGATGTAATCTTGTCTTCATCAAACCTAAGTTTTCTGCATGGGAGATGGAAATAGACTTCGTAAGCCACTTGTTGTTGCAGCATCAAGGGATACACACTGGCTTCTTCCCTGTAACCAGGAGGAATGGCCAAAATAAACATCAAGAGAAGGTAGAAGAGCCTGTGCCTATCCCCTGGGGGCCCTAGAAATGAAGCCTGAATGTCATGGGTCAAGGCAGATGGTAGTCCCCCTGGTCTTGGGATCTTTGAAACAAAGTGTCCTGTGTCAGGGACCTAAAATTCCAGTGAACAAGACTGTCGGTCACAGAAGCCCATGGCCTACCTATCCGGTGAGGATGGTTAGTGGAGAGAGCAGATAGAGTGTGTGTTTGTGTTGGGGGAGAGGGTTCCTCCTCTACATCTTCCTTTTTTCCCTCTGTATTCAGCTGCGTGTCTGACGCATGCTGCGTGCTTTCCTGTCCATTACAAATTGTCCCGTCTGAGGGGGCACTGGCTACTAGGGACATGAAACTGACATGGTCTTTTCTAGGGATGGCTAGTTCCCTTGCAGGGATGTGCACCGGCGGCCTGGCACTGGGGAGGAGAGGCAGGGTACTACTTCTGCAGTACGTGGTGGCTCAGCCTTCTTGCTCCCCTCTGCCTGTGGGAGCAAAAGCAAGCGTGAGCCAAGTGAGTCACCCAGAAAAAAAAAAAAAGACATCCTTTTGTGATTGGGTCCTAGGTCTCTCCATGTATGTGTGGAGAACAGGCATGCAAGTTTTGCTTGTATTACGCTGCTTCTTCCCTCCCCAACCCTACATCTTCTCTCTCAAGCCAGGGCTCCATTTCTGGACATCGGTACTTGAGAGGCAGAACACTTACAGATTAAGAATTTGCCAATAAGTTTTATAGATTGGAAAAAAGAATGCTTTAGACCAGCGCTGGCTCATGGAGTGACAGGTGGGGACTACTCCTCTGGAGATGGTCTCTGGGGGCATCATTCCTTTTCTTTCCTCAGTTGTAGGCTCTTTATACTGATGACCGTGCAGGCTACTCGAGTTGACCAGCCGTTTTGGCTTGAATTGGGGCGAGGAATGGGTATGTTCTCACTCTAATGAAACCCTTCATGAGGTTTTTATTAAGTGAATTCTGTATCTCCCTTCAAAAGAACAAATATGTGAGTGAATTTGGTCCTGTTTGCAGTATTTGTAACAGCGAGTGTGTTCTAAAGACTTTTTGGATATTCTAGATCTGCAGCGTCCAACAGAATTTTCTGCAGTGATTAAAATATCCTGTATCTGTGTCATATAGTATGTTAGCCACTTGCCATGTGTTACTGTGTAGCACTTGAAATATGGCTGGTGCGAGGAGCTGAATTTTGAATTTTAATTAAATTTAAAATAGCCACATGTGGCTAATGGCTTCCATATTGGACAGTCCGTTTCTAGCTTATGGATCCTACGTAGTCTTGTTTTTACTACGGAATAGATTTTGGTAAAATAACCATGTGCTCATTCACATTCAGGTTTTCAGTGCATTCTGAATTAGCATTTCTGTCTAACCCCTTCATACGTGTGTCCCGGAGATTACAGGTACAAATGTATTTTAGGTGCTGAGTTCATCGCTTGCAGGGTTTTGGTGTATAGATTGAAAACCAAGATTTCGGGAGTAAGGTAGTTGTCCCCTCAGTGGGTGGTTGCTGTGTGCTCAGTGCTGTTTCAGAAGTTAGCCTAAGTGTTTCACGTCTTTCTACGTGCCTGTGTATCTGCACTTTGGATTACCTGTATTTACTGGATGTAGTTACTACAGAGGTGGTTACCTTTAGGCTCTCCTCTGGGTGCACCCCCCTCCCTCCCACATGCAGACTAGCACCAGGATCAGCTTAGGGTGTGCGGAGTCCAGGCCCCTGAGCATGGGCTGGAGGTCAGGCAGCGGTGTGACCACCCCCCCCGCCCCCCCCCGTCTCCCCCGGGAGCACAGTAGTGTCGCGGGGAGGTCGAGGATTCTGCTCTCCCGGACCACTGTGCAGGTGTAAGCTGCAGCTTTCCGACACAGTGCAGAACGTCTTAAGGTCTATGCATCTGGCATCTTTTTCAGAACTTAGGTGTCATATCTGCGAAGTAGCCTGGGGTTCAGCCTCTGGTGTTGAAAATAGCTTCCTGTGACTACATACAGATGTCTGCTGATAAACAAGGCTGTGTTCCCTTCTGTGTAATTGCAAAGGGCATCAAGACCTGTGTTCTCAGTGAGTCTCAGATAATTTCCTATTTACGGAGTGCGAATAAGCGGCAGTTCCTGGGCAGCCGAGGAATTTGCCAACTCTGACTTCCCCAGGCTGCATTGCTCCCTCGCTAGGTGAGGAGGGAGCTTGCCGAACGAGCTGGTGATGCAGCGAAAGCCTGGAGCTCAGTCCCTCCGGCTGCCCTTCTCCAGGCCGCTCCGCCTGGGCTGCGGTTCCCGGTCGGGGATCGCATGTGGCGCTGCCTTCCGCATCTCCTTCTCCGTTCACGGTTCCAGGGCTCCGCAGGTTCAGGATGTCCAGAAGCACTGTGGGTTCCCTCTCAAGTAATGCAGCTGCGTAGTGTGAACACCGTGTTCCAGGCTTTCCGATCCGCTTGTCCCCACCTCCGAAAGTCAGCTTTGCCTGCTGCCTGCCTTCACCTCTCCAAACACCACATCTCACGCCTCGTCCCGCCCGTGTGTTGAGTCTGTTTCCTGAGAGCAAAAGGTTAAAGGGTGACTTTTTGTTTTTGAGGTCATTATCCCACAGCTAGGAACATCTTTTTAGGTCATTATCCCACACCTAGGAACATCTTTTTATTTTTAAACCCCACCCCACTTAAAGAAGAGGAAGGACCCTAGGAATGAGTAATAATGATTTTCTCAGTATTTGTCTGGTCCTAGGGCAGGAATGTACACTTCCACTTCGGAAGTAGATGGATGGGTTACTGGTGGTTGTCGCTCTCACTCATTCAGTCCATAAACCTAATTTGTTTTATTTATGATGGGAGAAGGGGAATATATGAATTCATTTTACTAAGCAGTTCTTGAGTTTTTGTAGTGCGCTATTATGACAGATACATTCTTGGTTTGAGCAAAGATGAGGAAGTACAGAATCCCTGAGATTATGAAGCACTTTTCAGCAGATATAATCTGTTGTGGGATATATATTTGTTGTAGGATATTTAAATGTTCTCCAAATGTCTTCAGTACTTCTTGTGAATAGTAACTGGTTTTAATTACAGGCTGGATTTCTCTTTCCCCTTTTGAGAAATAATAGTCCTCCCTCCTCCCCTGTTCCCCTTTTGGGAAAAGTCAGTAATCTGGGTAATTTCTATTAAAAAACCTCTATTAAAACCAAGGAGTGATTGTAGTCCACTTAATGAAGCAAAGCACAAAAGATGATGAGGACAGGAGCGGTAGAGAGTTAGTTCACTCATGAAGCCACTTACTTTTAAAGGTAAGGAAAAATAAAGAAGCCCCCTTCTCTTTCTTCCAACCTGGTTGTTATCTGGAATTTTCAGTTAAGTAAAATGGTTAACCACTTACATGTGCTTCAAACTAAACACAAAACCCCAAAGACTATTTAATTATCACACTTTTGTTAATAAGATTATGGGACTTGCATAGGAAAGATACTGTGCAAAATAGAATCCTTTCCTGTGTTAGTGAGAATATTGGTTTGTGTTCTTTTTAATTATTGGGTCTAATATTTCTGCTTTTTAGTCAACGAAGGGTGAAAGCAAGAAAATGACCATTACTTCATCTTGCTGGAAAGGTCTTGCCTAATCCAAATTGTTTGTTACATCGTGTAGGGCTTTGTTCTTAAAACCTCTTAAAAAGATGGATGTAATATCTTCTTTCTCAAGATAGTTTCGATAAAATCTCAGCAGTTTACTAAAATTTTATGAGACGTCTTTAGAAAAAAAAAATACAACAGTTGAAGAGCTGTCGACTCTGTCATCTGAGGCATTCTTTCTTTTTAAATATCTCATTTAAAAACTATGAATTCGTCCTCACCCCACTGTCCAGTAAATAAATAAATAATATTTAAAGCTTTAGGTTTCTCCTGCTAGTTTCCTTTTGTGTGTGGTTTGGTTGGGTGAGATCTGCAGGAACACTGTTAAAAGTGGGAAGTGATTTAACATACCTTTGAGGCATTTGGCCATAAAGATTTGGTTTCTGCTGAGAAAGCACCAAGGTATGAACTTGTTGTGTGGGCGTGGCAGGGTGGGCTGGGGGACAGTGAGAGCACCAATCTCCGCCCGGCTCCCAGTAGCTCTTTGTTCCGTCACTTTGGCTTCTTAGGAAGAGCATTGCATTTTTCTCAGATCAGGACAGGAACAGTCCACTTTCTGAATGAGTGAAGTGGAAGTGACGCTCTTTCCCCCCTCCCCCGTGCCCTTCTTTAATCCATTGCTGGGAGTTGAGAATTTTGTACACCGTGTGTCCTTCTCTGGTTTGCTCCGTGCCTACCCTAGTATACTGCTTAAATTTTCATTCAGAATCATCTTTGAAGATCATGCAAGTCTTGATTTAACTGAGAACATTATGTTCGCCCTAAACTATTATGATTTTTTAAAAGTAGTATTTTGTTTTTCTTTACAGTTCCTAAATTTCTTTACTTAAAAATAAAAAAAAAATTAAAAAACACAAAACAAAACGCAGCGCATTTCTGTTTTCTGACGGAGAATTAGGCTTTGTACAAAATGTGTGATGTAGCATCTGTTTGTATGACAGATGTCCTTTATTGACTCATAGTAAGTTCCCCTGTGCATTGATATAATGGAATTATTGTTCTTAAAATAATTTATCCTAATTTATAGTAAACTAAAATTATATTTTCATTTTGGAATTATATTAGTGCAACCAGTAAGAAATGACATGCATAAAGTTTGTTTTATTGACAAAGTATTGCCCTTTAAAGTACTATTTTTGTTTATGAGCAAATGTCTTTCGTTTATATGGGTTTGGGTGTGCATTCCTTCGAGTCTGTTTCCCTAGTGCAGCTACTTACTAAAGCCTGAAAAATTAAGGTGACAATTTCATTTCTGCTCTGCATTTGTTTTTTTTTTTTTATGAACGTACAGGGCAGTTGTCAAATGGGCTGAACCCAAATTATTCTCTGAGAAGAAAAAAAAAAAAACCCAGCCTGGTAAACTAGAATTAGAATTCGGATTTAGCAAAGTTGCAGGGTTTTAGAATCATAAGCTTCGAGCCCTTTATTTTTTAAGACTTGAATTTAGAGAGGTGATTTGGTTCAGTGAAGATGCAGAATTATTCCCTAAACATTCTATGAAACTAAGCACCAGCGTGGAGAGCAGAGCTCATGGGATCTGCCTGTAGAGTTCAGGGGGCCACTTCAAAAAACCATTGCAAGATGGGCAGCCTTCTTATTTTGCTAAAAAGGAGCAAATAATTGTAAAGTAGAACATTGATTTCTAAATTTGAAGTGCTGTATGTTCTCAGAGAGAAGGGAAGAAATCGCTCATAGAAAACAGAAACTGCAAGCGCCTCAGCCCTGGTCAGGACACCTCTTGCTCACTAGTCTGTGGGAGCCGGGCTCCGCGTGCTAGAAACCGGCCGGATGTGCGCGCCCTGTGGCCGAGTGCCTGCTGTGTGAGGCTACGTAATAGAAACCGAATACTGCAGTAGTTTCTACAATTAATCAACTTTCTTCCACTGTCCGATTCCAAGCCAAAACTGCACTTAAAAATGTGGCTCTGTCTTTTGGAGAGTAAAATGGAAGGAATCACTGGGGAGGACCTCCGGGAGGAAGTGAGATGCTGACTTAAGAGAATTTTGACTTCGGCTCTTCCGCGTGGAACCGAGGTGACTTCCTGAGCACAGCCCTGAGCCTTGCCCTTCAGCTGCTCGCTGGCGGGAGCCAGGGTAGGTGCTGCTCCTCCGAGCCTCTCCTCATTTGGATCGCCCTAGGGAGCAGAGCCTCGAGCTACCCCATCAGCACCCGCGCCTTGCCCTTCACCTGCTCTGGGTCCATATCTCAGGGGGACCGCTTGATTGACCTCTTGATAGAAGGCTGGTGATGGGCGCTGGTACTGGCAGTCCCCGAAATGAGTGATGAAGGCAAGACGGTGCCTAACTTTTATCTCCTGTTGAATGTGAAATTGACACGCAGGTAGTATTTGCTGTGGTTCCAGAACTAGAAATAAATGGGCACATGAGGCTAAGAACAACTCTGTCGGATCTTACATTATTGAGATTTTGTTTTCTGAGGAATGTATTTCTAAAAAGAAGAAACTATTCTATGTATTCCACAATAAAGTAAGAAATACCATGTGGTGGGAGCAGCCTGCCAATTCTTTCTTCTTATAAAAATAAGTCAACTCCACTATGCCACCCACTCTGTTTTTACTAGAAAGAATGGGTGTACTGATTTATTTCACAGATAATTTTGTATGTAATGTATATAATTTTGTATGTATATATATAGTCTTTAAAAATACTATAAAAGGGTAAATGATAATTCAGTAGATTCAGATTTTTTTTTACCTTTTTATTTTGAAACTTCAAAATAAAATGGAAGTAAAATGCATTGCCATGGTTCTTAATTTTATTTTTATTTTTTATTTTTAGAAAGTAGTTTTTCAGAAGTCTGTACGCATGTCAGTTTCATTAGTAGTATTATATAGTTAACATAACTAATTTGGTAGGTTCTGTTTGTTTTAGTGGATTTATTTTATTTAATTCTGTTGTATTCTTGCATCAAATAAGGACTTAGATTGGGAACTCTAACTTAGAGTTAGATTGGGAAGAAAGAAAGAAACCTATTGCTCAGTGTTTTCTCTATTTAAAAAGAGCTTTATTGGTTATTCTAACCACATGGGTAATATATACTCTTTTATAAAGTTCAGATTACTGTTTTCTGTATCTTAGATGTTTTTTTTCCATAAATTCTCGGGTAATTCATTTCTTTTAGAAAAACAGGGTCATATCAGCTATGTACTGTTTTATAACCTGCTTAGAAAACGTAATGTAATTTCTTATCAGGTATAGTTGTATGCCTTCATTTTAGATGATCGCATAGCATCTATACAGAATAAGCCTGTGTAAGAAAGTATTAAACCTAAATATACCATATAATTAGGTATCGCGGTTTTAAGTTGCCTTGTTATATTGAGCTTTCAGGTTCAAAATGATACTTAGACCCCCCCCAAAAAAAAATTATGAGTAGTATTTACTAAGAATGTTCAAATGCTATTTTATTTATTTTTAGATCAAATGCTACTTTAAGTCTGAACCATAGAAGTTTGTTTTTTAAATAAACAAGACTCCTTAAAACAAACTTTTTCCTTTTGGTGTATTTATGTAAGATTCTCCCTGTTTACAGAAATTGTATCATGTTTGTTTTGAAAATAGAGATTTTTAATGTGCTTAGGAGATAGAGGTCTGAGAGGGATGAGAGATCACGCAAAGCACAAACTGGCGTGGCCTAAATCTGGGTTCCGTGGCAGTGTTTTGTGCCTTCCTCTAGCACCAACACGTGCTCGCCAAGTATGGAGAGATACCTCACGTGAATGAGGGGTCCTCGCACACCAGTCTTTTGTTTCAGTTTCCACATCTCTTCTTTCATTCTTAGAAGACACCAGAAAGGCTCTGCATTTTGACTTTTACAGTTGTGGGGAGGGTCATCCTCAGTTTTCCCCCCTGGCCCCTTCCCAAAAGGGGTGGGCTTGTCATGGACTCAGCTGCAGGCCTCTCAGCTCATCTCCTGACCTTTGGCTCGCCAGGACTGTGAGCTGTCAGTGCTCTCTGTGACATCCGTGGGATGTGACTTGAATGGATAGACTGCATGCGCTGAGTCAGCTGTTTCTCATTCCCTTCCACAGGAGAAAAGCAGGTGCTAAGTCTCATTTTGAGAATTTATCGCTGTCTGTTGGTGACACTTTAGAGACCACTCTGCTTATTTGACTAATAGCCGAATGGAAGCTAATAGTCTGTTTAGGCCATCGAAGCCTAAAATCCTAATTTCTTCCTCTGACCTCCCCCTCCAAAAAAATATCTCTTCATGTTTTTGTGCTGAGACTACAGACAGGCAAATGTGATATTTTGTGCAGGGAAAATTAGGATAGGATTGAGAGATTTGTGGTTTTAAATTCTTTTATGGTAACATACTTTTATGTGTATGCTCAGGTCATAGAAGGTCGTGTGTATGGGTCTGTATGTCTCCGTGTGTAAAAATTGTAAATTTGGAGTTACCGATTTTGAAAAAGAAGAAGATACATTTTTTTTTTAAGATTTTATTTATTCATCTGACAGAGATCACAAGTAGGCAGAGAGGCAGGTAGGCAGAGAGAGAGAGAGAGAGCGGGAAGCAGGCTCCCTGCTGAGCAGAGAGCCCAATGCCGCTGGGCTCGATCCCAGGACCCTGGGATCATGACCTGAGTCGAAGGCAGAGGCTTTAACCCACTGAGCCACCCAGGCGCCCAAAAGAAGATACATTCTTAAACCACCTCCTTTTTAAACAGCTGAACGTCAATGGAAGTACGAAATCTCTTACCTGAACAGGTTTCTTCTTCATACAAATTTTAAGAAAATTTACTGAAGTTCTACTTATATCCTGTGTATGTGGTCTGTGAAGATTTGTTTTGGGTATTTGGGGAGAGTGATTCTTTGGTTCTTTTTATTTTGGCTTGTAGGAAATGAAAAATATATGAACAGTCCAAGTATCAACGTAGATGAGGTGCTAAATAAATTGTAATAAGCACCAGAGGACATAAAAATGTGTTAATCTCAGAGCTGCATGATGATTTTTGTCTTGTGAAAGGTTAGCTTTTCAATTGCACGACTTAATTACTTTTCAAATGAATATTTCATAAGTTTTTTTTTCATTGGATATATATCTACACGCGTATTCTATTCCCCATGTGGTAGACATCGGTTAGCAGCAGTTTTGAGATT